GTCTCCAGGAGTTGTAGATGCTCAGTGGAGGTCTCCAAGAAGAGTTTGGACGACGATTGGTTTCAAATGGTCGAAGGTCTCCTGCCTCAGCAGGGACTAGAAGACTTCTTCCAACTCTGTAATTCTGTATTCTGAATGTGGGAGGACACAGTGAAGAAGAGAAAAGGTCTAGAACCGTGATGGCGAACCTATGGCACGCGAGCCCGTTAAACTTACTTGCACTGCGCATGGGAGCACCTCCCAGCTGATTTTCAGCCTGTTGGAGGCCATTTTTGCCCTCCCAGAGGCTCGAGGGAAAGCCTCTGCAGCCTCGGGAGGCCGAAAAACAGCCCTTCCAGAAATATCAGAAGTGCCCAAACGGGCCCTTTTTCAGCCTCCCGAGGCTGCAGAGGCTTTCCTTGGAGGGCAAAAATGGCCTCCCCTGGGCTCCAGAAGCCCTCCGGAGGCTGAAAACAGGCACTTCCGGTATTTCTGGAAGGCCCATTTTTCAGCCTCCCGAGGCTGCAGAGGCTTCCCTCGAGCCTCCAGGAGGGCGAAAATGGCCTCAAATGGGGGAAGAAAAATCAGCTGGGAGGCGCGCGCATGCGCAGTGCAGGTGTTCTGCCTCATGCACGGGGGGGGTGGCAGGGCGCATTGCATTGTGGGTGCCAGCATGCGCGCACTTTTGGCCCACCACAACAAAAAGGTTTGCCATCCCTGGTCTAGAAGAACAAGTCTGCAGAACACAGCGGCATCCACCATGTTTAACGCAAGAAAACAGGATTAGAAGACGTCCAACATCCCCTTCCAGCTCTGTTATTCTGTCAGTTTCTTGGCTGCGCTCTCTCCAACCTTCCTGTGAACCTTGGAGCCATGACTCTAAAACTTTCCTTACCTGCCTTCTCAGATCCTTCTAGAACGATGTTTCAGCTAAAACCCCTCGGGTTTCAAAGAGCTGACCTGACTACTTTCTCAGCATTTCGACCTCTGGCTCTGGAATTGCTTTGGAATTTGCTTTCTGGCTGCTAGTGAGACCCGAGGCTGTTTAAAGACCAGGCAATTAACTTCTCATGAATGTTAATGGATAGGTTTGGGCCATGGGTTGAGCTTTTTCGGCGAGTGTGAGGGGAGCCCTTATTAAAGAACGGATTCAGCCAGTAGCTGCGGGGGCCTTCGGGGCAAGGAGAACAGCCTCAAAATCGGAGCCGCCTGCGGAAAAGCTTCTCCCAATTTGCTGCCAAATCGGGTGGACGTAATGGAAGAAGAAGAAGAAAAATGGCAAGGTATATGAAAACACACCGAGCGTGTTGCGCAAAACCTGGCCATTAGAACGAAGCATAATGTGTGTTTGGTTTCTTTCTGGACAGTGTATTCTGCAAAATGAGCAGGGGCGCCTGCTAACCGTAATTCATGGTTTATGTGTTGCACGAACTCAAGCGTACAGAATCACAAAAAGCTTCATAATGACTCCTTTCCACCGTATTGCTTAAGGTTACCTTAAAATCGTTATCAGGGGAAGAAAGTGGGAAGGGGAAGGGAAGAAAAAGAGAGAGGGAAGGGACGAGGAAGGGAAGGGACGAGGAAGGGAAGGGGAAGAGATGAGGAAGGGAAGGAAAAGGAAGGGGAGGGAAGGAAAGGGACGAGGAAGGGAAGGGGAGGAGAAGGGAGGGGAGGAGAGGGGAGGAGAAGGGAGGGGAGGAGAGGAGAGGGAAGGGAAGGGAAGGGAAGGGAAGGAAAGGAAGGGAAGGGAAGGGAAAGGAAAGGGAAGGGAAGGGAAAGGAAGGGAAGGGAAGGGATGAGGAGGGGAAGGGGAGGAAAAGGGAGGGGAGGAGAGGAAAGGAAAGGAAAGGAAAGGAAAGGAAAGAAAGGGAAGGGAAGGGAAGGGAAAGGAAAGGGAAGGGAAGGGAAGGGAAGGGAAGGGAAGGGAAGGGAAGGGAAGGGAAGGGAAGGGAAGGAAAGGGATGAGGAGGGGAAGGGGAGGAGAAGGGAGGCGAGGGGAGGGGAGGAGAGGAAAGGAAAGGAAAGGAAAGGGAAGGGAAGGGAAGGGAAGGGAAGGAAAAGGAGGGGGGAAGGAAAGGGATGAGGAAGAGAAGGGGAGGGAAGGGGAACGAAAAGAAAGGAAGGGAAAGGAATGGAAGTGAAGGAGAAGAGAGGAGAAAGGGAAGGGATAAGGAAAGGAAAGGAAGAGAAAGGAAAGGAAGGGAAAGGAAGAGGAAGGGAAGTCTGGGTTGGCTATACTGTCCAAATAATTTAATGCACAACTGAAAATGATTAACAGGTTAAATCAATACAAGGAAATTAATGCAGTGTCCTTCCTCCTAAAGCTTTTGTGGAATAATCCCTAGAAGGGAATATATAAAGAAAAAGAAAAGAAAAACAACCCATCCTCGAAGAAATGACAGGCAAAACCCTTTTAGGGCCCTAGTCTTCTCTTGCCATACCCCATCTTTGGACTTCACTGACGAACTTAGAAGGTGTGGTGTCAAGTACAGTGTCTCTCCACCTTAGTAATTTTTAAGAAGAGCAGACTTTAACTCCCAGAATTCCCCAGCCACACATGACAACCCTGGGTTACAAACCTTGCATCAATACCGAGAAACAGACTGGGATCCAGAGACGTTCATGGTTACTCATGATCTTCTCCCCCAGTGAGAGAGAAAATCCTAGCCAATATTGGAAGGGCGTGAAGTGTGTTGATCTAAGTGGAAACCGTTGGTCAGAGAAAGCTGACATTAAAAAAAAACAATGAATCCATGTCATTGTCCAGGTTGCAATGAGGAGTGGTGCTATGGTGGTGGCCTAGAGGTGGAGCTCTCGCCTCACGATCAGGGGGCTGTGAGTTCGATCCTAGGTAGAGACCGATATTTCTCTCTCCAGGCACAATGAGAATATATCTGCCGAACAAAACTCCGCAATGGCAACAGGAAGGGCATCCGGCCAGTAAACACCCTGCTAGCTCCATTCCGTTGACCAAACTCCACATTGCAAAGGATTATGGGGGTTCTTAAACAATGAGGATGAGCAGGTTGATGAGCAGGTTGCAATGACAAGCCCAGAATATCAAAAGCATGGATAAGCCTGAGTTAAAAGCTGTCATATTTTTCGGTTAAGATTCTTTCAGGCTGAAGAAACAAAAAAGAGACACGCTGAGATTTAAAAGAGAACTGGCAAATGGGTATTTTCCACAAAAAAATCAGGACGTAAGATATTGAGAGCCAGCTCGTTAAAAAAGAAAGAAAGAAAGAAAGAAAACAACCCAGCTTCAAACATTCGGATATTTGTATTTTGCTCCGCTATAAAATGAAAACTCATATGTGAACATCTTGAAGATGATGGAAGTTCCTTTGCCAGAAAACACCAGCTGACGGGTGCTAAGAAATGCATCTTGAAACACGCTTCCCTGTCCTTTCTGCAGGAGTTAAACTTCTGTTTCTACAGGCTGCCTTCAAAACAGGAACCTTCCCCATCCTTCAGCCAAATGGTTTTGCCTGCTCTTAATGGGCTACCTGGAACAAAGTGTTCCAATTAAACAGGGGAAGAGGTGAGGGTTTTCACCTTGGTGTAACTTATTCCAAGTGACTGTCCACTAGATTTATGGCTCACCTTTCCTCCTGGTAACCTGTGGTAGCCTGGTTGGCTTAAAACCATTAATCACTTGGAAGATACAAAAAAAAAAAAAAACCCACAAATTTATTAAGCATGCAAATAGCTACGGTATGCAGGTAATCAATTGTCGAACGACAGTAATTGGGACCAGAATTTTCCATCGTTAAGCAATGCGGTCATAAAGCAGAACCTCGTTGCTTAGCAACAATAATCCCTGCCATCAATTTTGCCATCGTTGAGGGAATGCCGTAGTGAGGGAACTTCCCAGCTTGTCATATCCAAAACTAGTAATGTTGTGGTTCACCGGCAGCCGGTGCAGACGGCAGCGGAATCGGACAGTGGGGAAGAACAGGGACCAGTCTGGGAGTCTGGGGAGGACTCGGATGAGAGTCCTGCAACCGATGCAGAGATGGGGCCAGGACCATCTGGGAGAGGGGTGATGCCTCTGGAGCCTTCGGAGTCTGGCAGCAGCGAGGCAGAGGAACAAGGGGAGGTGGTTGCTCCTCCACTAAGGGATAAAGAGAATGCAAAGGTAGACAAACCTTTGCAGGAAGCAAAGTCATTTGTTCTGTTCAGATTAATCCTTGAAGCTCTGTGTCGACTTTGGACTTCGGTTGGTTTTTTTACAGTTAATTTAGCACTTGGCAGCAATTCAAAGGAGAGAAAGGTGGGTGCTTATCTTGAGGGACTATTTGGGACACATTACCGGCTGGGAATAAAAATAATTCCCAGCGTTAAAATAAAACAGGAGTTGTTTTAACTAAGCATTTAACTCTCTACCAGCTTGTAGAGAAGGCTTCAAATCATAAGATGCAGTTGTGGGATGTTTCCTTAATGCCCCACAGTGATTCACTTAACATTTGAAGGGCAAAGAAGAACGTAAGCCTCCCTGAAATGACACGACGTTTTGCTTGGCAACACAACACTTAGTGACCGAGTTACCAGTTTCAATTGTGGTCGCTAAGTGAGGATGACTTCTACAATCCAAGATGGGAGGTACAAACTTTCCATTTCACAGTGTCCATGGAAAAAGAGGATGTTCCCACATTCCTGAAGTTGTGGGATTGTTTCCAACACCGTTCCTCCAAACGGAGAGCTCCTTTTTCCCCCTCTTTTACATTTCTATTCATCGCTAAAAGACCTATTTACTGCTATCAATGCAATCCAATCGCACTTCAAATGAAGTAGCGCCATTGTCATTGCTTTTAAGCTCCCTTCTCTCTCTCAAAAAACATTTAAACCTTTTTTGTGCTGAATGAAGGATGCTTCTTAAATCACACTCCAAGTTGTGACAACCTCACAGAAGTCCTCCTCAAAGGTGGTTTCTTTTTTCCCCACTTTATAAATTAAGGAAGAACGTAAAATACCACTCAACGCCCATTAAAAACAATCAATCTTTCTCGAGAGATACTCACACGAAAAAGGGCATCAGTTGGATGAGAGTCTCTTTTTTGGGGTTGGCGATAAATTCTGGCAGAGCCTGGATGACTTTGTTCATCACGTTTCTTAAGTAGCTTTGCAACTGCTTCCGTCGTTCCTCCACGAACTTTGCATCCTAAGGGAAGGGAGGAGAGAGGCCTGAATTCACCCGGCTTGGCAAGTTAAAATCATTAACGCTAACATGCGCGTCCAGGTACGAGCCAAAAAGGCTCCCCTGGAGACGAAGTGGCAATCACAGGGCCCCAGGCAGCCTACAGAAGTCCAGACGTTCTGAATTGCAACTACCGATATCCCTCCTTACTGGTCACTGAGAGTTGTCATTCAACAACAGCTAGAGCAGGGGTGTCAAACTCAATTTCATTGAGGGCCGCATCAGGGTTGTGTTTGACCTCAAGGAGCATGGCTAGCTCGATGTCACTCGTGTCAGGGGGGCAACTGTGGTGGCCAAGTACTAAGGCAGAATTTCCTTCAGACCCTCCTTCCCTCTCATTATAATCTTCCTTCCTTCCTTCCTTCCTTCCTTCCTTCCTTCCTTCCTTCCTTCCTTCCTTCCTTCCTTCCTTCC